TTTTTTTAATTTTTCATTAAACAAGTTTGCGAGTTTAGATTTCTTCATTTTCTAAATATAGATTTCTTCCACATAGAGATCTATAAGATCTATTACTTTTGCAATGAAGGGGAGAAATTTTTTCTTTTTAAAAAGAAGGAATGGCTGGGCATGGTGGCTCACGCCTACAATCCCAACACTCTGGGAGGCTGAGGAGGGTGGATCACCTGAAGTCAGGAGTTAGAGACCAGCCTGACCAACATGGTGAAACCCCATCTCTACTAAAAATATCAAAAAAAAAAAAAAAAAAAAGTTATCTGGGCATGGTAGCAGGTGCCTGTAATCTCAGATACTCAGGCGGCTGAGGCAGGAGCATCACTTAAACCTGGGAGGCAGAGGTTGCCGTGAGCCAAGATCACACCATTGCACTCCAGCCTGGGCAGCAAAACAAGAGCAAAACTCCGTCTCAAAAGAAGGAGGCAGAGGAGGAAGTGGAGGGGGAAGGGGAAGGGGAGGGGAAGGAACTGGCTGGGTACAGTGGCTCACACCTGTAATTCCAGCATGTTGGGAGGCCAAGGAGAGTGGATCACATGAGGTCAGGCGTTCAAGACCAGCCTGGTCAACATGGAGAAACCTCATCTCTACTAAAAGTACAAAAATTAGCTGGACATGGTGGTACATGCCTGTAATCCCAGCTACTCGGGGGCTGAAGCAGGAGAATCGCTTTAACCCAGATCATACCACTGTACTCCAGCCTGGCTGACAGAGTGAGAGCCGGTCTCATACCACTGTGTACTCCAGCCTGGCTGACAGAGTGAGAGCCGGTCTAAAAAAAAAAAAAAAAAAAAAGGTAAAGTAAAAATTTAAAGAAAAAAAAGCCGAGCACAGTGGCTTACGCCTGTAATCCCAACACTTTGGGAAGCCGAGGCGAGTCAAGAGATTGAGACCACCCTGGCCAACATGATGAAACCCCATCTCTACTAAAATACAAAAATTAGCTGGGTGTGGTGGTGCACACCTGTAGTCCCAGATACTCGGGAAGGCTGAGGCAGGAGAATTGCTTGAATCTGGGAGGCGGAAGTTGCAGTGAGCCAAGATCATGCCACTGCACCCCAGCCTGGCGCCTGGCAACAGAGCAAGACTCTGTCTCAAAAACGAAAAAAAAGGAACATAGAACATGACTGGGTGTGGTGATTGGTGGCTCATATTGGTAATCCCAGTGCTTTAGGAGGCCAAGGTGGGAGGATCGCCTGAGGTCAGGGGTTCAAGACCACCCTAGGCAAAAGAGTAGACCCCATCTCTACAAAAATAAAAAATAAAAAGAATAGGAACATCTAACGTGTTCAATTTTTTTTTTTTTTAAGGGAACAGCAAATACCGTCTTCTGGCTCATCCAGGGGAGGAGGTCCCATGCATCCACCCACAAACTCCCCAATAGATGGCCTTGGAAATGAAGTGCAGCCACACTGCCCACCCCTTCCAGCCGAATGCTGGCCTGGGCCTCCCTTGCAGCCCTTATTCCCTCCCTTTCCTCTACCCATTGGCCCCATTCAAAACAAGCTTGTGTTAGAGAACATGCTGTCCTGTGTGCTCCTAGCACTTGGGCAGAACTCAGCACTTCCCAGGCCGTGGTGGAGGCATCCATCTCAAGAAAGACTTGCAATGACACGTGGTCAGGATGAAAGGGGGATGGGAACTTCTGGCCAGATTGGAGACCAGACCTCTGCTGGGCTTAGGAGATAAAGCTGTCACTCCCCAGGAAGGGGAGTGGGAAAGCGGAAAGCTGGCCCTTAATCTAATCAAGGAGAGGGAGGACGGAGGGGGAATCAGAGCTCTGAGATGCTGTCCTGGCTCCCTGTCTCCCACCTCCTGTCTCCTGCCCTGGCAATAAAAAGAGCTGGCCTGGGAGGAAGGAGTTGGATGCACTGCTAAGTAGCTGTGTATCTGCGGGCAAGTCATTGCCCACTCTGGGCCTTAGGGACTTCTTTCCTTCCTCCTTCCTTTGTTTTCCTTGAGCCCTTGCAGAATTGAGAGGACTGGAAAGGGAATGGGAAAGTGGGGGACCCCTGGCGTCTTTGTCCTCATGATGAGGAGCTCCAGGAAGGGAAGGCTTCCATCTGGATTTTACATTCCAACCTATGCAAGAAGGGGTCGCTGGAGGGGGAAGGGCAGCTCAGAAGAAAGCCCCAACTCTGGGGCTGGGCACAGTGGCTCATGCCTATAATCCCAGCACTTTGGGAGGCCGAGGCAGGCAGATCACTTGAGGTCAGGAGTTCAGGACCAGCTTGACCAATGTGGCGAAACCCCATCTCTACTAAAAATACAGACATTTCCCATGCATGGTGGTACATGCCTGTAATTCCAGCTACTCAGGAGGCTGAAGCATGAGAATCACTTGAACCTGGGAGGTGGAGGTTGCAGTGAGCTGAGATCGCGCCGTTGCACTCCAGCCTGGGTGACAGAGCAAGACTCTGTTTGAAAAAAATAAAAAATAAAAAGCCTTAACTCTAGAACTCTGGGTCTACAGGTTTCCTTCAACTTCACAGGCATCCAGCCTCAGCCACCACTCTGGGCCCCCAGGGAAGCTCTCCTTGGCACCAATGCCAGGGTCTCAAAGAAATCCTACTTAATAGAGAAGCCAGTCCAGGGGAAGTACAACCTCACCCTCCACCCTGACCATACCCTCATTCCTTGCCCTTGCCCTGAGTTCAAAATGCAGAATCCCTGGGTAGGACTGCTGAGTGGGAGGTTCTCTCTCCCTCTTTCATCCCCCTGCAGACAGGGAGGGTTCTAACCAGCTAGGGAAGGAGTGTGGTTGGAAGAGCCAAAATCAGGAGCTGACATCTTGGAGGCCCCTCTGCTAGGGATAGGGGACACCTCTGCACGTCTTCCCCCAAATCTGGAGACCTAAGTCCACCAAGTGACAAGAAATGAAAATATATCCCTTAAGATTTAAAGACAGAAGAGCAGAATTTGGGTGAGGTGGGGTGGGGTAGGGTTGGGTGGGGAGGGGAGGAGAGCGCTCCTGGCAGGACAGAGGGTCAGTTCTGGCCAGTTCCTTTCCAGCCTGGCCTCCTCGACCTGTCCCTGGGCTATAGGACTGCCCAAAAGACTGGGCGAGAAGAGTCACAGGTGTGCCTGGGGGAGGGGCCCGTAGCACGTGTTCCCAGCAGAACCAGCCCAGCAGTTCTGTCAAGTAGGCCCCAGCACTGACGCACACTTGGGCACCCTTCCGCATCAATACACACCCACCTCCATCCTGCCAGCCACAGGGATGGGAGGGGAACAAATCTGAGTTTTTGGCAGCACCTGGTAGGAAGAAGCAAGTTCCTTAGGAAACCTTCTGCAGAAGTGGGGGTTGCCAGCACCTTCTCTTTGTCCCCAGGTCCTTTCATCTGATTCCAGAGGAGGCAGAGTGTGGGGGAAGCGGGGTGTGGAGAACGATGAACCTGCTCTGGGGAGTCTGCCTTTGCACAAAGGGTGGCGGGGGTAACTGGAGGGCTGGGCAACTGGAAATAATTGTACTTGTTTTTTTTTCTTTTTTAGAGACATGGTCTCCCTATGTTGCCTAGGCTGGCCTTGAACTCCTGGGCCCAAGCCATCCTCCTGCCTCAGCCTCCCAAAGTGCTGGGATTACAGGCGTGAGCCACCACGCCCAGCCCTGTGCTTGGTTTTTACTCACTGCTCCCACCAGAAGACTAAGAGGATCTAACTGCTCTGCATTATCAGACATAGCTGGCCCTGGTGCTGCTGAGTAGGGGCACTCAAGCCCTTGAGATGTTGGCATTTTATTCTTACAATCACCACAAACACTGGGGGCTTATGTCTTCCCCCTTCTGTCTTGGAGGGTGTATGTTCGGCCGTCCTCACCGACACCAACCACAGACAGCTACTACTTCTCCCTCTCCCGTGGGAAGAGCTACCGTTCCAAAGCTGGAAAACGCATGGCTTAGTCACCAGGGCCAAGCTGGCTCAATCCAGCCGAGGCCTCCCCAGCACCAGCCACTGCCATCATGCCTCCGAGCCAGTCAGCAGGACTGAGTACACAGAGGTGACTTAAGGCCAGGGAGGAATTACTTTCCATTCTCACCACATCCTATAAGGAGGGAAAAAAATCAACCTCAGACTGGAGAAGTGGGCAGGATAGGAACAGAATGGCTCTTTCAGGACTTACTTCTATAGACTTAGGTGCCCCCAAGGTCAAGAAACTAGGAGCAGCTCAGACCAGCAAAATTTGAAGTTAAATCTGCAAGGAGCAGTTGATATAAGGGACAAGACCCAGAGGATGACGGGAAGGGTGTTAAATCAGAGAAAAAGGAAGTGACCCCACCCAAAAGGCTACAGAGATCAGGCAATAGCTTGAGGGGTTTTCAGCTCCTCCCTATCACTTCCACTAGCCATCCATAACACACAAGCTGATTTTTGTAAGTGCTTGCTTTGCAAACTCAGCTTCAAGAGAAATCTCCCTCCTCCCCTCCCCCCAATGCCACATAGAAATCTTGGACTATCTCTGAGGCAAGATAAGGAGAGGAAAAGGCCAGACCAAAGTAAGAGTTACAGAGTTAGCAGTCTTTAATAACTTACAGGCAAGTGCTAAAAAACAGTTAATACAGAGGACACACGCGGCTTATAAAAAGGGTCATGGATCTACAAATGTCGGGGAGGGGTTCTTGGCACTTTCACAGACACAAAAATAAAAACTATGTGACTGGTATCCCTAGAAGAGCAGCCTGGGGAGACTCCCCAGTTGGGGGGACAGAGGATGAGGAGACCATTCTTTCATCCCAAACACATTCTCCAAGCCACTTTCCATCCCCCCCAAAAACACATCCAATTAAAAAGCCAGAGAAGAAAAACGAGGAACAGGGTCGAGGTAGAGTCACAGTTTACATTTACACCTCCCCGTTCCTGCAGCCCCCACTTCTCCAGAGAGGATGAGGGAGAGATGTGCAAGGCCATCCCATCTCCCATCCCCACCCCAATGTGGCACCAAACAGGACCCCCACACCCCCCCCCATGCTCCTCTATCCTTTATAGAGGTGGACAGGTCCTGCACCCAGGCTGACTGAGAGGTCACAGGCTGGCCACACACACCCTGTCCAAGTGTGCAGATCCCTACTAGGTGGGGGGCAAGGGAGGTAGAGGGCTCGGGTCACCGTCTCTTCTTGCTGCCCCGAGCGGCCTTCTTCCTCTTGAGGATCATCTCGTAGAGGCGCTCCAGGCCCTGCTGCAGGCCCAGACCGTCCACAGCACTGCAGCCTTGCACATGGGTGAGAGTGGCGGCTGCTAGCTCTCGGACTGCCAGCCTCTTCTCCACCTCGGCAGCGCTTAGTGCCCCGGGCTGGTCCTGCTTGTTGGCCAGCACCAGCACCGGCACACCCTGGTTGTCCGAGGCCCGGCTGATTCGGTGCAACTCCACCTTGGCCTCCTCCAGCCGTTCGGCCTCCGCAGCGTCCACCACAAACACCAGCCCGTCTGTCCGGCGGGTGTAGGAGCGCCAGAGCGGCCTCAGCTTCTCCTGCCCCCCGACGTCCCACACTTGGAAGGTGATGCCACGCGACCCCCCGAGGGGCACCCGGATCTTCTCGGTGTTGAAGCCTTTGGTGGGGACACTCTGGACAAACTCCTTGAACTTGAGGCGGTAAAGGAGGGAGGTCTTTCCAGCAGAGTCCAGCCCAATGACCACGACATGCAGGGCTTGGAAGTGGGGCAAGAAGGAGGAGGCGGTGGGTGCCATCTCAGTCAAGTGGTTCCCCATAGTGAACTAAGGCGCCTAGTAGAGGCAGGGAGGAGGCCTTGAAATTGCAGGTTCCAGGGAGCACTCCTGGGTTTTCTGAACCAAGAAAAAGTCATGGGAGAAAAAGGAGATGTTTAATAACACACACAAGATTTGCAACTTCTTGATCCCTTCCCAAATCAGCCGCCTTTTAAAAATTCCTTGCCTTTTATTTTTAAGCTGCAAGTGTAACAGAGGGTCTTCCCCACTCTCTAGGGGGTCATGAGGGGGGCGATGGGACCTAGAGAGACCTGCAGGTCCTGGGCCACTCAAGCTGGGGGTAAGGGCTTGATCCGCGGACGGTGGGCTTCTAGAGCCTCTTCTCAGAGCTTATGGCGCCATACCCCAGGCAAGACCCCGCGGGAAGTGAGAAGTCGACAGTGTCCCCAAACTAAGAGTTGGGGTGCAGACGCTGAGGCCGGAGATTGAGTCTGGCTCCCACCGGCCCTCCGCACCCCAAGCCATTGACACAGTGCCCTTCCTTACTCAGCGACCCCCGCCCCACCGCCCCGCGACACTTCCCTGCCCGCCTGCCCTCCTCCAATCGCCAACACTAGCTCCAGCGGCCCCCACCGGGGCCGCCTCAGCACGGTCTGGAGTGTCCCCTTACCTCTTGTGAGCCGCGCTCTCCTCGCGCCTTTCCCGGCCAAACACCACATCCGCCCCGCGAGACCCCCGCAGCCACCCAGCGCGCCTCCACCGCCGCCTCTGCGGAGCCTGCCTAGGGCTCAGCCTTAAAAACCCGCGTGTGACGTCACGAGGCGCGGGCCAATCAGCGGGGCGGGGCGGGGCGGGGCGGGGAGCTACGGGCGCTGCAGCCACCGCCGCAAGCTAAGAGACGCTTCCACAATTTGTGGCCGCTCTATTTGATTTTTTTCAACCACATTCTAATATTTGGAATTAAACCTGGAATTAATCCAGAATGAAGGGTGGGAGGGGCAAAAGGAACGTGCCTGGCAGCGTTTGACTCGGGAGGAAATATATGAATACCCTAATATTTGCACTACCACCGCATCCCCTCCCCCAGGCAGAAATACCACCCCATATAGAGGCTGACAAGTCTTTCTCCTTTATCGTTCATAATTCAATTGTCAAACCTGTGTGAACCTGGAACCCCACAAAGCAGCTGTTTCACAGCGCTAAGCCCATTACCCACAAGAGCCTGTTAGGGACTGTCTGCCTTTTACAGGTAAACAAAGCCATGAAGGGTTAAATAACTTACCAAAGGTTACACATAGCTAGTAAGCGGCTGAGCGAGGATGTTTGAGTCCAGAGCCTGGACCCCTCACCACTTGGCTTTCCCTCTCTCTTATCAGGGAAGATGTAGGGCTAAGCATCCTCAATAGAAATCCCTCAATTGCTAGCTGAGTTTAGTCCAGCAGCAGACCCCTCAAAGGCCTTCCTTGTTGAAATAGATTGACAAAGACAGAATTATTTATCACTCAACAGTGTGTTTAGGTGCAGTAGCTTACACCTGTAATCCCAGTACTTTGGGAGGCCGAGGCAGGCAGATCACTTGAGCTCAGGAGTTCGAGACCAGCCTGGACAACAGGGTGAAACCTCATCTCTACTAAAAAGACAAAAATTAGCTGGTAATCGTGGTACATGCCTGTAATCCCAGCTACTCAGGAGGCTGAGGCAGGAGAATCGCTTGAACCCAGAGGTGGAGGTTGCAGTGACCTGAGATCGCACCACTGTACTCTAGTCTGCTCTACAGAGCGAGACTCTGTCTCAAAAAAGCAAAACAAAACAAACAAACAAAAAACCAGTGTGTTTACTGACCTCATTCATACTGTGTGCTCTGAATAAGACAGAGACCGTAGACAAATAGAGGATGTCTCGGCTGTAGAACCAGGCCTCAGAGGGCTTAAGACTGATCACTAGCAGTGACAGAATGAGACAGCACATGTATTGGGTCTTTGTAAATCATGAGATAGCACTTGTAGGATTTCAGAGGAGAGAGAGAGAATATGTCAACTGGAAGCTACTGGAAAGGTTTATAGAAGTTCTTTAGCCCTGTGTAGGACTGGTTAGGAGGGGCACAGGAACGAGTGGAGTCTCCCCAGCCACTGTAGCCTGCTACCGTCTCGGCAGCCCTGAAAGGAAGGAGATGTCACAAAGGGGCACTGTGACCAAAACGACAACAGTAATTAGGTGGAATTGTGGAGGGGGGGAGGGGGGAGGGCAAATCAGAGAAGAATGAAGTTGTACATTGTAACTTTAATATTCCCATTTTTACCTGGAGGTTGGATTCATTTATTTATTGTATAATTCTATATTAACCTTTTTATTTTTTATTTTATTTATTTATTTATTTATTTTTTGAGACGGAGTTTCGCTCTTGTTACCCAGGCTGGAGTGCAATGACGCAATCTCGGCTCACCGCAACCTCTGCCTCCTGAGTTCAGGCAATTCTCCTGCCTCAGCCTCCTGAGTAGCTGGGATTACAGGCACGCGCCACCATGCCCAGCTAATTTTTTGTATTTTTAGTAGAGACGGGGTTTCACCATGTTGACCAGGATGGTCTCGATCTCTTGACCTCGTGATCCACCTGCCTCGGCCTCCCAAAGTGCTGGGATTACAGGCGTGAACCACTGCGCCCGGCCTATTAACCTTTTTAAAGGCTATGTGTGAGAGGGATTGAAAAAAGGAGAGGAAAAGTCACTGCCAGACAGCAGGGCCCAGCCTTTTCCTGCCCACCCGCCTCAATCAAGTGCTGATAAATAAGCTTCCCATCTGTTTGTCACCAGCATGCCTTGCCACCTCCTTCTTCCCCCCGCACTACAAAACCAGCCACCTGGTTTCCCCAGCAATGCAGGGAGCCTCCCCAAATCCCTAAAGACCTTAGGAAATTAGTCTAAGATTAAGACCTTAGGAAATTAGTTGTTACACCCCCAGCTGGAGCGTGACAGATTGCAACAGCAGCTAACGTACCAAAGATAGAGCTGAGCATGGTGAAGTTAGGAGAGGGGAAGACGGAGCAGGCCCAGGGGTTAAGAACCACTGCATTGCCGAGTAGCCATTGGGTGCTAGGCTCTGGTCTAGGAACTTTGCTTACTTTTCCTTTTTTAATACACAAGTCCGCCAGGCACAGTGGCTCAGGCCTGTAATCCCAGCACTTTCGGGGGCCAAGGCAGGCAGATCACCTGAGGTTCAGGAGTTCGAGACAAGCCTGACCAACACGGAGAAACCCCATCTCTACTAAAAATACAAAAAATTAGCCGGGCATGATGGTGCATGCCTGTAATCCCAGCTACTTGGGAGACTGAGGCAGGAGAATCACTTGAACCTGGGAAGTGGAAGTGTGGTGAGCCAAGATCATGCCATTGCACTCCAGGCTGGGCAACAAGAGCAAAACGCCATCATAAAAAAAATACACAAGTCAACCCCATGAAGTAAGTATGGTTAGTCTAAAAAGAAGAAACTGAAGCACAGAAAAATTAGGTAATTTATTGAAGGCCATCCAGCTAGAAACTGATGTTATAATGTCTATGAGACTGAAAACACACAGAAACTGAAAACACACAAGTTGCCTTGTTTCAGCCACAATCTTTGAAGCTTCTTTAACATGGCTCCTGTAATATATCTTGGCACTTACACCCAAGATAGAAATTGTCACTTATCTGATAAAGGAAATGAAACTGACAATCCCACCCCACCCTTCTGTCTTTCATGTTTGCCAGAGAAGGTGTTAATGAACAAATGGGAAGCAGAAGGTGGGGCTGGGGAGGGGTAAAGAAAGGGACCCGGCTTGTCCAGGTAGCACTAAGCTATAAGCCTATACTGCTGAGACCGTCTGAACATTTGTCCATTAAGCAATCTTTCTGTTTTTGGAATGATACAGAGATTAGCATGGCTCCTGCACAAGGATGACATGCAAATTTGTGAAGCATTCCATATATTTTCAAAATAAAAATAAAAATTATTATTATTTTGTACAGACAAGATCTCGCTCTGTCTCCCAGGCTTGAGTGCAGTGGCAAGATCATAGATGACGGCAGCCTTGAGCTCCTGGGTTCAAGAGATCCTCCACCTCAGACTCCTGAAGAGCTGGGACTGCAAGCATGTGCCACCACACGTGGCTAGAGAACTACTTTAGATTGAAGGAAGAGTGTACTGGAGAACCTTTCAAAGAGGGGACACTGAGCCAAGGTTTAAGTGACACCGAGTCAGATAAGCATCATTCTTCCTCAGAACTGTCTCCTCCACCAGACTAAGCCATCAAGGGCAGCAGCTGGTTCTGATCTGTAGCTCCACCATGCCCAGCACCATGCCTGCCACACACAGGCAGTCAGGAAATCTTGTGTGAATAAATGAATGCATGATGGAGTAAATGTCCTCAGAGGGCTCCCTAAGTATGAGAACCAAACCTCCACCCTTAGCTTGGGAGTTTCCCAGCCTGAGGTCCTTGGGCCCTTGGGGTTCTGTTGATAATGGGTTGGCCAATAATTCCTACCATCCCTGCATTTCTAGGCAGTGTCTGAGTAGTATAGAACTCTTAGGCCTTACTGGAGAGGAAGAACTTAAAGGAGAAAAACAGGGCCAAAGATGGGGATGACACGGGACAGAGAGGTTGCCCTCAGGGCATGCTGGAACCCAGGCTGAGTCCCATCATTCCATCCCTCACTAGTAGAGTGGCTTGAAAAAGTAAAAAGCCACTTCCGGCTGGGCCTGGTGGCTCATGCCTGTAATTCCAGCACTTTGGGAGGCCAAGGCGGACGGATCACCTGAGGTCAGGAGTTCAAGACCAGCCTGGCTAACAGGATGAAACCCCCATCTCTACTAAAAATAGAAAAAATTAGCAGGGCAGACTGGGCTCGGTGGCTCATGCCTGTAATCCCAGCACTTTGGGAGGCTGGGGTGGGTGGATCAACTAAGGTCAGGAGTTCGAGACCAGCCTGGCTAACAGGATGAAACCCCCTTTCTATTAAAAATACAAAAAATTAGCCAGGCGTGGTGGCACTTGCCTACAATCCCAGCTACTCAGGAGGCTGAGGCAGGAAAATCACATAAACCCGGGAGGCAGAGGTTACAGTGAGCCGAGATCACGCCATTGCACTCCAGCCTGGGCAACCAGAGCAAGACTCCATTTCAAAAAAAAAAGGCCAGGCACTGTAGCTCACACCTGTAATCCTAGCACTTTGGGAGGCCAAGGTGGGTGGATCACCTGAGGTCAGGAGTTCAAGACCAGCCTGGCCATCATGGTGAAACCTCATCTTTATTTTTAAAAAAATAAAAAAATAAAAGAGCAGGACATGGAGGCACATGCTTGCAGTCCCAGCTACTTGGGAGGCTGAAACAGGAGAATAGCTGGAACCAGGGAGGCAGAGTTGCAGTAAGCCGAGATCATGCCACTGCACTCCAGCCTGGGTGACAGAGGGAGACTTCATCTCAAAAAAAAAAAAAAAAAAAAAAAAGTCACTTCCCCTCCTGGAAGCTTCGGTTTCCTCAGCATGTAGTGACGTAATGAGGGGCTTAGATGTTTCCAGGTCCTTTCCCCCTAACAGTCCGTGCTCTGGAGTAAGGGAGGGTAGAAGGATGCGTGGAGCTCGCCTAGGAAGTGGCTGCCTGTCTCTGCAGCATCTTAAGTACCTGTCTTCGTGAACAAACGAGGGAAAGAGGAGTCTGCAGGAGTAGCGGGTGGGGTGATGGAATGACGCCAAGGAGCTCGGGAATAATTAAGACCAATTTTTCAAATCCCAGTTCTGTTTCCTCATGAACAAAATGGAGAAAACCCAACCTATCTCTGAGTGTGAGGGGAAAATGTGTGAAAGGGCCCCAAAGATACCTTTCTCCCCAACCAAGAGCTCTTTCCCTGGCAACCATCCCAAAATCAAGTCCCAGGGTGGAGCCAAGGGCTAGAAATAAGCAGATGCTGCCCCCTGGTGGATATAGTTGTCACTGCCTGATTGGCGAAGAACAGCTGAGTCGCTGAGGGCGAAGTTAATTCAGGTTCCTTCGTCGGCTTCCTAAATCTTCCTTTCAGACAGGGCCTTTCTTGCAGTTTCAGGTTGGATATTAAAAAATACACCAGCCGAGCGCGGCGGCTCACGCCTGTAATCCCAGCACTTTGGGAGGCTGAGGTGGGTGGATCACGAGGTCAGGAGTTCAAGACCAGCCTGGCCAAGCTAATGAAACCCTGTCTCTACTAAAAATACAAAAATTAGCCGGGCATGGTGCCGTGTGCCTGTAATCCCAGCTACTCGGGAGGCTGAGGCAGAGAATTGCTTGAACCTGGGAGGTGAAAGTTGCAGTGAGCCAAGATCGTGCCACACTGCACTCCAGCTTGGGCAACAGAGTGGGACTCCGTCTCAAAAAAAAAAGAAAAAAAGAATAAAGAAAAAGAAAATACATCCTCTTCGGCCTGGGCTCGGTGGCTTATGCCTGTAATCCCAGCACTTTGGGAGACTGAGGCAGGTGGATCACGAGGTCAGGAGTTTGAGACCAGCCTGGCCAACATGGTGAAACCCTGTCTCTATTAAAAATACAAAAATTATCTGGGCGTGGTAGCGGGCACCTGTAATCCCAGCTACTCAGGAGGCTGAGGCACAAGAATGGTTTGAACCTGAGAGGCTGAGGTTGCAGTGAGCCGAGATCGCCATTGCAGTCCAGCCTAGGCAACAGGGCAAGGCTTGGTCTCAAAAAACAAAACAAAACAAAACAAAAACAAACAAAAAACACCCTCTTCAAGTTTGTAGTGTGTGAGTGATACCAAATTAAAATGAACATTATTTGAGCAGAAACTCTAATTTTGATGACATTTTCCATGAATTTACATAGAGTCTAACAATAGGTCCAGGGAACACTGACTGGCCAGGCGCGGTGGCTCACGCCTGTAATCCCAGCACTTTGGGAGGCCGAGGCGGGTGGATCACGAGGTCAAGAGATTGAGACCATCCTGGTCAACATGGTGAAACCCCATCTCTACTAAAAATACAAAAAATTAGCTGGGCATGGTGGTGCATGCCTGTAATCCCAGCTACTCAGGAGGCTGAGGCAGGAGAATTGCCTGAACCCAGGAGGAGAAGGTTGCGGTGAGCCGAGATCGTGCCATTGCACTCCAGCCTGGGTAACATGAGTGAAACTCCGTCTCAAAAAAAAAAAAAAAAAAAAAAAACACTGACTGAGGCAGGTAGGAGATGGCTGCAAGGTGGGAAAGCTTTTTTTTTTCTTTTTCTTTGAGACAGGGCCTCACTCTATGGCCCAGGTTGGAGAGCAATGGTGTAATCTCAGCTCACTGTAACCTCCACACCCTGGGCTTCAGTGATCCTCCCACCTCAGCCTCCAGAGTAACTGGGACTACAGGCACACATCACCATGCCTGGCTAATTTTATTTTTATTTTCTTTTTTTTAGATGGAGTCTTGCTCTGTCATCCAGCCTGAGCACAGTGGCATGATCTCAGCTCACTGCAACTTCCACCTCCCAGGTTCACAGGCAAGTGCTACCACGCCTGGCTAATTTTTGTATTTTTAGTAGAGGTGGGGTTTCACCATGTTCCTCAGGCTGGTCTTGAACTTCTGGGCTCAAGTGATCTACCTGCCTCAGCCTCTCAAAGTGCTGGGATTGCAGGCGAGAGCCACCATGCCAGCCTCTGGAAGGTTTTCAAGAGCTCAGTTGCAGCCATGGTGTGATGTCTGTCTGCAGGCTATCCACATGGTGACAGATGTCCAGAGTGCATTTGCTCAGGAGCCTGGAGCTCAGGGGAGGCCTTTGTGGGAGGGGCAGACTTGGGTGGT